CCCGCCTCCCCGGGTGTCGTGTGTCTGTCTGTCTGTCTGTGTCCGTGTGTGGTGTGTGTGTGTCCGTATCCCCCGGGGCAATGGGGCCGGGCAGCCTCTGGGTGGCTTCCAGATGTGTACAAAACGGGAGGTCACCGGCGTTTCCGCAGCGTTTCCACTGGGTGCGTTTGAGGAGGCTTCACCCCCGGGGGGGGGGAAGGTCTGGCCGAAGCCACCCATAGCAAAGAGTCTCCTCTATGACTTTCAATACAGCTACATTTAAATAGTCTCCAAAATACAATCTCTTAAACTGTACTAGATTTTTATTTGATTCTAGGAAGTAAGAGCCGGTTCCAAACTACTCATTGGGTGGGGGTAATTTTTCCCTCTTTTTCCACAGCTGCCAGCGCTGCCTGGGGACGATGGACGGCTCAGCAGATGCGTGCGGGGTCCCTGAAGGCACTGAGATCGGGTCACAGAAAGACAGAGTGGTGACCGAGGAGGAATGGCTGCGAAAATGGGAAATGGGTAACATTGGATTTCACAAGGAACAAGGGCATCCGTACGTGACTTTACCCTTCTGCCTAAGCTGTTTTAAAAAAATGCTGTGAGGTGAATGATTTGACTCAGCCAAAAAGCTCTTTAACAGAAAATGCAGAAAATGGAGCATTTACAAAAGGAAAAATCTTTCACACAGCTTGAAAGTCATATTAATATTTTTGTGGCCTACATTTGTCAAAAAAAAGGGCAGAGAAAAGAGAGGATTGCATTGAATTTAGAACTTTTAAATCAGGTTTTAAACTATAAAGCTTGGATAACTTGACTAAGAATCTTAAATTTTCTGATGCAGAAGCTCTGCACTGCTGTTCGTAAGCTATGAAACTGGGGCCTAAAACCATATGCAGAGGGCATGGGAGCAATTATTGTGCACTGGAAGACAGGGGCCTAAGAGAGAAAACCCAATTATATAGTCTTGCAACCAAGGAAAGTTACATTTAAGACCTGTATAAGTGATTTGATAGATACGGAAGTTTAATAGTCATTCTAAGTTGCCTATTGTGGCCCTCTTAGAGGTGGGTTGTTTGGTTTGTTTACTTGACAGGACAAACAGAAAACAGAACAAAGAGAAATGCGTTATTTTCTCACAGAAATTAAATTTACTTTCTTTCTAAGTAAATGGAAAGCGAATGGTTGTCTTTTATGTTTTTATTTCTGATGGTACAAAGCAGGTTGAACTAAGAACCTGTGTTCCATCACGGAGTTTGTGTGTTACCTGGCATAGGACGCAGCACTTGGCTTTTAGTGTGCGGCACAAATACTCGCAGTGTGAAGTAAAACATCTCTGTTCTTCTGCAGGCTCCTACAGAAGTATCTGGACGTTCTTTTAAATGGCAGGAGCGGACTGAAGATTTTTTTCCCGCTTTGTGGTAAAGCAGTAGAGATGAAATGGTAAAGGGTGGATTATAAGAGCAAAAATCTTATTTGATGTGGGGAGGGAGGGAGGGAGAGGGGGAATTCCCAACCTTACATTGGCCAATGGAAATGTGCCGCATCTCCGCTGGTAGAAAAGCAGCGTCACTGGAGGCTGAAGGGAGGAGGAAGTTTGGTTTCATTTCCTGGCGTTTTGTATAGTAGCATAAATGGGATGGATAAGGATTAACCTGAAAGTCCTCCTGATTGTCCCAAGCTCAGCTTGGGGAATGC